AACCAAAACCATGGGAAAATAGAAGACTCCTCATATACGGTGCCCATGTAATTCTTCCCATATTATCTAAATGTAAAAATCAGAGAATCTAAATGTATATTTCATGAGGAGTTCAAAACTTTGTTAAATGTTGAAAGATACTTGTGTTGTGATATTCCGATGCAGTTAAGAATTCCTATATCAAGGTTTAGATGTATTACATTTAATATTGCTGTTGAATGTGGCAGGTTGATGGAATTGTATATAACGAAAGACTATGCCCCTTTTGTGAAACCAGAGATCAGCATTATATAGAAAATGATTGTCATGTACTATTTATCTGTAATGCCTATGATAAACTTAGAAGTAAAAGCATAACAATGCTCACTTAAGAACCAGACATGTATTACTCAATTGTAAATCTTTTGCAAAACATGGTGTTGTTATATACAAACTTATATCATGTGCAGAAATTGATAAACTCCAGGATGTACCGCTGTAAAGTCAACCTGCACACTCCTACTTAATACATTGTCATCTGATTGTATTATGGGCAGAGGGCATGTTTACTGATTAAAATCTGTCTGTCTGTAAATGTAAAAGCATGTTATAAGCTACTTTGGGTAGACGTTGTTCATGCATATGACTTTTAACAAGTATTTGTAACATATTTTTGACATGTTATGGGTATCTACCACATTCACCATAAACTATACAACTGCACTGTACACAGAATGAAACAGCAAATCTCTCATCTTTGTGATTACATTACAGTTCTCGAATGCATATTGTTCAAGTAGTGCAAAAATATAAATTAGACATAAGTTATTAGTTAGGAATGTTCTTTGTTAGAAAAAAGTATGACAAACAATGACAATGTTAAACAGAGATTTGGTTCAGACCAAGTTGATACCCTTCTTTAGATATTCCACTGCCTTGTACAGTCGAACCCCAATGTCTCGAACTCGGTTGTGTCGAAATCATCTCTCGGCCCCCACCTATTTCCTTATACAATGTATTTATCATTATGTTTACTCTGATATCTCGAACTAGATGTTCGAATTCCCGGTTGTGTCGAACTCATTTTAGGGTCCCCAAGAGCCCTACTAAGTACAAATTTACCCTTTTGTCTCGAACTGTCAAAGTTGGTTCTTGCAACTGAAAACTTCATTCGCGCAATCGAATGTAATGCTCATTAATGTGCTAACGATATTCCACTTCCTTGCAATTGTGTATGTTTTACATCTATATATAATAATTCCAGATTGTCTGGAGATATATACTATCCAAAAAAAGAAACGCATAGGCGATTGTATTTTTAAAAATCTATTAATTACCTATTGTGTTCAAATAATCGTCAAACTATGTAACAAAAGTTGTTTATTACATGATTTTACACAATTACACAAGTAAAAAAATCAATCTTCAGTCGTTAATCTATTTTGAGCTGTGGCTGTGTGTGAGGTGAGGTGAGGTGAAATTGGGTTCAACGTCGTGCTTGAGAATATTTCGCTCATATGACGACGTGCATGCATGTGTATGTGTATGTGCGGCTGCTTGTACTAGCCCAGACTGAAGGTGGTTTTATAGTGCTAGCCAACTGAGATACCATGCTGCAGTGAAGCATGAATACCCCACTCAGACACATTATACTGACTCCAAGCCGACCAGTCCTTGTTGTATCCATTAATGCCGAGCGCCAGGCAGGGACCAACAAGTACCATATTTTAACGTCTTATGGCGGGGGATCGAACCCGCGACCTTCCGCTCTCCAGGCGGACGCTCTAACCACTACACCACGGAGGCGGTCCCGATCGCTTGGTGAAACTGGGTACACATCTCACCTTTGTACACGATCTCTGGAGGAACAGTTCTGGTGGATGCTTACGCAAATGATGGTACTGATAACTGCAGTCATCACCAGTAGTCTCCTGTACTTCATCCCACATGACGTCATGGTTCATATAGCCTGTAAGGGGTCTGTCGTGAAAGCGAATGAGTTAGTGAGTGAGTTAGGTTTTACGCCGCCTTAGCAATATTTCAGCAATATCACGGCGGGGGGACACCAAAGATGGGATTCAAACATTGAAAACATGTGGGGAATCAAACCCCCTCCTTCGGCGTGACGAGCGAAAGCTTTAACCACTGGGCTACCCCACCGCCCTCGTGAAAGCGAATGTGACATTCAAAATTATGTAAACTTGTAACAACACGTGGAAACTAAACAGTGTAAGTCCTTGCTGTAATATTTAACGATGTTCAGTCAAGGGTTGCTCGTACAGACTGCCGTACAATTTAATCTTAATGCCCTTCAAAGATTTAAGACCCCCAATCAAGATTAAGCAACACCCTAGCTACCCTTTGTCCACATGACTTCATACCCTATCTGTTATCACAACAACTATTATACCCGTGAAGATCCTGGTTAGAACTGATCTTCAGTAACCCATAATTGCCGTAGGAGGTGACTAACGGGCACGGGAGGCCAGGCTCGCTGACTTAGCTGACACATGTCATCATATCCAAACAGCGTAGAACGATGCTTATGCTGTTGATCACTGGATTGTCTGGTCCCGACTCGATTATTTACAGACCGCCGCCATATAGCCGGAATATTGATGAGTGCGGGGTAAAACTAAACTCACTCACTCACAACTATTAGTAATTCATCACACAGTTCATCAACCTCAATAACTGCAGAAACTCAAATATCATTCATGTATATATTCTCCTTGTTCATGGGCGGTTGGGTAGCCTAGTGGTTAAAGCGTTGGCTCGTCACGCCGAAGACCCGGGTTCGATTCCCCACATGGGCACAATGTGTTAAGCCCATTTCTGGTGTCCCCCGCCGTGATATTGCTGGAATATTGCTAAAAGCGGCGTAAAACTAAACTCAGTCAGTCAGTGTCCTTGTTCATAATGTTGCGTATCACTTGTTTGATAACGGTGTTAGCATCTACACCGAAACGTCGCATCCATTGCAATAAAGCAGTAACTGTTGTCTATCCATAAAAAAGCGTTCCTGTCCATGCTTATAGAGTCATTAAACCATGTAGGCCATGAGCCATACAGGTCCACCGTGCAACCATGGCACCTCCACTCCCTCCATGGTTCAGCTAACGATACTTCACAGGCTGACATGTACAAAAACCTGCCAGCGTTGTTTCTGACAACAAAATACAATAAATATAACAAAACTAGCAAATACTAACCTATCACGAATAATCCTGATTGGTGGTTCATCCCAACGACAGTAACGTCTCTCACCTTCCCTGCTTTAACTAGCAGTCTAAACTACACGCACAGTGCACATAAACCGAACGTGTACACCCAAAGACATTCCAGTAACACCATAACAAAACAAATCTAACCTAAATATTCTAATAATAACTTTAACTGCACCGTGAAATAAGGTCACGGTGGGCGTTCGACCATAACGTCTACAAATGCAAAGGGAGCGAAATATTCTCAAGCACGACGTTAAACCCAATTTCACCTCACCTCACCTCACAAATGCAAAGGGGTTGTGTAACGAACAGGCCCTCGTGTCTTTGCGAGGATTAAAGATTTTTAAAATATTGTTTGTGAGATTACCCCCGACTCGAAATGCTTTACAGTACAATGCCCCATGACAAGGTCACGATCGGGGGTCATCTCAAATTTGTACATAATTTTTAAAATCTTTAATCCTCGCAAAGACACGAGGGCCTGTGGTGTAACGATGGTCGGAAACAAGACGATTTTTAACATTGTCCAACTGGAAGAGAGAGTGTTCGTTGCCGCTGAGGTCAGCAAAATTCCACCTGGGTTGCCGGTATGCACAGTCTGGATAAACCAGTATAAAGGGTGAATGAATATGGTTTTACGCCGCTTTTAGCAACATTTCAGCAACACCACGGCAGGGCGACCAGAAATGGGCTTCACACATTGTACCCATAAAGAGATTCGAACCTAGATCTTCGAGCTGACAATTTACCCACTAGGCTAACCCCCGGCCCTTAACCAGTGAGGGAATATATATCAAACCTCAATGCCAGAAAATAACCAGTCTCGATAACAGATACAGTCACCCCAAATCGTTGTTTCAGATCTTGCAAAAACATCGACGTACGAATCCCTAATGCTGCCACTTTTGTAGTGTAAAATATTTTTTGTCGTTGCTTCGATTATTTAGTTGGTGCTTGGGGTATTTTCTCCTTATTTCGATTCATTTCTCGTTACTTCGATTATTTTCTTTTAAAAACTTGAAATTTCAGTGTCACCCCTTTTTTCTACCCCTACCGCCGACAATCCGTCTTTCCTGACCCGATCGCACATACACCTTCATAAACTTTTAAATTAGTTACGCTGTTGTAACATATGTTATATTTGGGATTACACTGTCTTAGTAAAGTACAAATTCTAGTACTTTTTTGAGTTGAGCCCCATCCGGGATTCGAACTCACACCCTCAGAGTCAGGCACCTAATCGCCAGCACACAAAGTCAGCCGCCTAACCCGCTCAGCTACCGAGTATTCCACGAAAATGGAAGTCGTACAACTGGTAGTCTAAACTGCGGGCTTTGTGTACCCCTCTGATAAGTGTTGATTAGCACGTCTCCCACGGCCGAGAGCTATGATTACACAATGCCATTTAAAAAGTGGTCAAATGTAACATATGTTGGATTACACTGTCTTAGTAAAGTACATGATTACACAAAGTGTAATCCCAAATATAACATGTTACATTTGACCACTTTCTAAATGGCATTGTGTAATCATAGTTACGCTGTTGTTGTTATTACAAATATTACAACACCACGTGTGACTTAATCATTTAGTGATTTTTTTTCACTCATTGTTTTGCTTACTGAGGAAGTTGTTTTCTGAATAAATTTCTTTTTCTCCTTGGATTTTATGCACGCATCACGCCCCTTCTTTAAAAAGGTCTTACAGGGGAGGTAATTTCATGACCGAGACTCCTGACAGGGATATTCGTAGCCAGTTGTACGCTCAGGCGAAGCTGTTTCAAGAACAAGGCGCTGTTTGGAGCTTGCAAGCGCATACATTGTATCCGGAAGCTAAGAGTGATTACGGATTAAGCAGTGAAAGTAGGAGTTGATATCAAATCAAAAGAGACTTCAATTTCAGTGAAAAAGGTAAGATCAAATGTGTACCGATTTTAGAAATCGTTGTATAGTGTATTTTCACAAATGGTAGACGCTTTGATTGAGATCAGGAATTACATACAGGAAACCCGTGTCAGATCTCTGATCTAACCCTCGTCAGATTTCTGATCTATACGACCGTCATTGTCGATCGTCTTCAGTGTTGTGATCGTCGCAGCTCCGATAACTATTAAACAGATTGACTTCGTGTCATTTAACTTACTAGCCATTACGATTATGTGGTTATTTCAACAGCAGTGGCCTTCATCCACGTATGGATGTAATCGCAGAAACATTACGTCATTGAGTTGGGCGTGTGCCTTTCATCAAGTTCATGTTGTCGCAGGAAATCATGTACGGATCGTAATATCATCTAGCTCTCCATATATGGTCTCTGCTGTAAGTTAGTGTAACTGATGTGAAAAACGACCAGTATTGGTATGAGTGTCAGTGACTAAGAAGCAAAGGGACATATTGCGACATGCAAAATACCGCCTGGATATTTTCGTGCGGTGACTCAGTGGGGGCCGTATATTAAATTGTTTGATCTCTAATTGCATAATTGACAAGCAGCAAAGTGTTCTTTACTGTACACACATTGAGTGAGTTAGTATCGTTTTAGGCCACTTTCAGCAACATTACAGCAAAGTCATGGCGGGGGACACCATGTGGGGAATCGAAAACGGATCTTCACATGATGAAAGAGTGCTTTATAACCACTATAGGCTACCTCAACACCCCTCTGTATGCACTGAAACACCCCTGCACATAAATGGTGTACTCTTGACTGGAGTGCCCTAATGCCTTACACCACACAGACCAATTAAGGTTAAACCAGACTGGGCTAGATTGAAATAGATTATAAACATAGATCATAAGGATCGTTAATTGTCAACTAAATATTGATCCATGAATAAGTATTGGAGAAGTAACATATCCAAAATGAAGAAAAATGTCCAAAATAAATTACATGTTTGACATCAGTGGTGAGTGATGACACATTTGGACATGGATTATGAACAAAAACAGCATTTTGAATGTCATTTATTGAAATAAATAGTGTATGTATCCTCGTGTCATGGAAGTTCGATACCTTAAGAACTGTCGCTGAATTTTCAAAGTAATATTCATATAATCTTATTTTCAAATCTCTTACCTCTAAACTTGTTTATTTATGTCAAACATTTCCGAAATCCAGGTATTTTTACTGGTTTTCACAATCGCGGCATGGCCGCTCTCTCACTGTCAAAACAAGTGACCCAGAAAGCTACGTCACACAAGTTAGATCATATAATTGGCTGACTTGTCGCATAAACAGGATGACTTGTATGGACAGTCCCAAGTAATTTTATGGTACATGTATTTATCATTATGTCCATGAAACGTTCATTTTGTGTTTTAGTACTTCTAAAAATTGATGAAAAGTCACAAATATTCAGCTTATATACAAGTATTATGCAGGAGTTATTCTTCAGGCTCATCGTGACAGGGGCACCAAACCACAGAATGTCGACAAACACCTCGACCTGGCTTGCAGAAACATAAATGTGTTCTGCGCTGACATGTAGGGTGGGTACATTGTGCCCAGGTTGTATTTATCAATGAGGCACTAGTTCGAACCTCATCAGGTACAAATTGATGGAAATTCTCAAAAAGCATTAAGTGTTCTATAAGAAATGTCCCTTACCTGTTTCCAAGGTTTTATATTTTGACAAGAATATCACGTGTCTGGTCATGTTACATTTAGACCAGCAACATAAACAAGCAGAAGACAGGTGTGCTGTCAATTTACAACGTGTGAAATATATAAAGACTGTTTACATTTTGTTTGAGCTGATAAAGTTACATTATTGATCTAGGGTTAAAAAGTAGTTGTTTGCTGAATATGAGCTGTAACGTATGTTTAGTTACTTGACACGAAACACGTTCCGGTCCAAACGAATGAAAGCGGTGTCACCAGAAGATCAAAGCTGCAGATACCGTAACTTATCGCTATGTATCGCGACAATTACCATTCAAAATGGGCAATCAAAGTTACATGTCGATCGAACTTGTGTGACTTGACGATATATTTCAACTGTATTTTGATCTATACTGTCACAAAAGTTTATGCGAAATATCATCGATGGAATAGTTTTTATATCAATATTCTTACATAATTCTTCCTAGTATCAATGTCAGAATTCGTCCCGTTATATTTTTGGGCATGTTTGAACTTGTTCGCTGCTGATTGCTATTTCTTGGCTCAAATACACACGGTAATCTTAATTAATTTATAGAGCAAAAATTGTAATTAAAATTACACAATGCTAGGATATATTTCTTTGGGTTAAATAATAGTATTCTGTATTATATTTTACTGATGACTGCGTCAGAATTCGTCCCGTTATATTATTGTGCATGTTTGAACTTGATCGCCGGGAAACATGTGCACAGCTGATTGCTATTTCCGGCTCAGATACACACAGTAATCTTAATCCCTGCAAATAATACAATGCCCAGCAAAAAACAACTTAGAACTTAAAAGGTAAATAGTCTTGTCTAGTGATGTTTAATTGCAAATTTGACGTCTCTACTGACAAAGTCGTCTTCTGTTGTTTGTTCGAAGTGATACGATGTTGTTTTCTTACCCCTGGAAAAAAGTTTGATGAAAGCGTAACCCATGGATAAGACGACCCCCTTCTGCTTTTTTTGGTCCTCAAAATTCGGCTTAAAGACGGTAATATACGGTAGGTAGTTTTTGCTCAGGCTGCAGTTAAACAAAGACCTTTCGTACACAGTTCATGCGACTTACAGTGGGTACCCAGGTTGGGTCGAGAAGCACTGGTTCTGACCTAAACAAGTAAATTTGGACTTGTCCCAGATCTTGAGATTTCAAGCATTTCCAGAGACCGTTCTTTTCAGTTTAACAACAAACAAGCAAGCCTGCATTACAGAGGGCTTAACTGTACAGTACAGTATTACCGGTGTTTTGCAGTGGAATGACAACAAATACAAAATTTTTAAGCCACCTTTTAATAACCCACAATTGTCTATCTACACTAGTGGTGATACGATTAATTGAAATAATCGAAAGACTGGTCGCACTGATTAGACGACCAAGCAATTGATCATGTTTTCTCATAATCGAACAAACAATTTTGGAACACTTGTTTGCATTAACAATATTTTTCACCAGCTTGGTTTTGTCTGTGTCATTAAATTTACATTTCATAAGCACTACGTTCCAAGTCATGATTGAATTCATCTAAAAGACTTCAGGAAAATTATGTTCCTAACAAACTAGTCCTCCTTTATAGATGTGACATTTGCAAATGCATTTTATGCTATTTGAAATTTCTTTGGAAGAACTACATGTTTTTTCTTTCTTTCTTTTTTTTTGTGCATTTACAAAGATAACAGGAACATTTGATAAATCACGCCAACCAATTATTTTTGATTATTGATTGGTTGTAAAGGACCAATCATCAATTATGAGATTTTAATTAATTCCCAACACTAATCTACACACACACACGTATGCACGCACCCTACCCCACCGAAACATCGCACTCATTGTAATAAGGAAGTTGACTATCCATAGATCTTGGTTTTCCTTCAACAAACATGTAACCTAGTATTTCAACTTTATAATTTTCTCACAATGATTGGAAAATGGCAAAATACCCAACTGAGTGTGAGTGGGGTGGGTACAATTTACTTGGTAACTCAAAGGAAAATTAGGATACCCAATTGAGATGAACACAAGCGAAGCGAGTACACAGCTCAATGACCAAAAAGCGTTTTTCTGTAGCTCTGTCTGCCTGATACTTCCGGATACCAAACTGTTTCGTCATGTGTCACATGATCTCCAACACATGCCTGTTCATATCCTCCATAATTTGATGTGCATTGTAAAGTCAATCGCCTTCCATTCAGGGACCGTCTCAAAACCGTGGAGACATAATTACACTGTATTTGTGAACGGTAAGGCTGTTGATATTTACCGTTACAGTAATGAGCAAAATAACTCCATACTACCAGCCATTTTGTTCACACTTTCGTGATACGGTAACCATGGTAACAAACTATAGTCTGTTTGCAGTCAAAACATACCGATGAATTTCACTTTAAACAAAAAAGTATATCAAGTTAAGTGAAATTAAGATTGCGAATCCAATAATAGCGATTTGAAACTATGATCAAACTTAAACAACTTTTATCCTAAGTTGAATAAAATTCTGAGATTTGAATGTTCAATTGGCAAGGTAAAATTATGAGGATTCGCAATCTTAATTTCACTTTATTCGATTTACCTTTTTGTTTAGAGTGAAATTCATCGGTACGTTTTCACTGCAAACAGACTACACTAAAGAGATTTCAAAATTTCAATTTACTTGTATTAGAGTTTTAGACAGCCAGTGGTGTGGTTAAAAGCGTAAGGGTGCAGTTGAAGTAAGTTCCGGGTTGTAGGAAGGATACACTCAGAAATTATTATATCTCCAGAACATTATGGTGACCTTTTGTACAGGAAACCAGTCAAATATGTACTTTCCTGTAAATCGACTACATATACAGGGTATTTTCTGATTGGCTGAGCGCTCTTCTATTATTTTCAGTGCACCCCGCTTACAAGTGAGTAACAGTTTCTATGTTACCTGCTGGGAATGCAGAATTGTGGGAATTAATTTTGTACTTGTGTTAGTAATTCTTGACCTTAAATGACTGAGTCACGCATGACTTACAGAAATTACCAATATCGATGTCGTCTGTCATTGTCAGTATTGGCAAATTGCCTAACTCTGGTACTCCTTATTATGATCCGATACCTGTGCTTCAAACAGTTGAAAATTAGCATTGAGGTGTTTGGTAAACTAAATATATTGTGTTCATGGGTTCAAAGCTCCAGATAAGATTTAGCTCACTGTATTTTTTTGGAGTGGGTATTATGAATGTTGAGTGGGTATTTCATTTTCTGTTACCCACTGCTTTCAAATGTGTGCATATTTCAG